AAGAAAGTAAATAAATGTTTTGTGATCAGTATAATTTGACAAAACCACAGCAAACATGCTTTCTCGACAATCCTTGTTATTGTGTGAGTAAAAAAGTGTTGAAATTAAAACGGACGTGTGTTAATAGGGAAACAGCCGGCGAGCTGTTTGCGCATGCACCGTGAGCGGTTCTGGTTCTGTTTGGGCCGCAGCCGCTCGCAGCGCTACTTCAACAGTTATCCTCCTAGTTTCTGTCTGGCTTGCAGGCCAGCAGATTCTCGCACGAGGGGAAAATCTGCCCAGGTTGTGTACTTATTTTTTGCACAGCCATTTGTTTACTGTGAAGTAAAGTTGAAGTGCTGAAGTTTTGAAAACTAATTTTGAATAAAACTTGAAGAATAACTGGCAATTGCTTGCTCATTTTAACAGGTCTTTCATAATTATAACATGCTATTTGATATAATGGTTTACAAATACAAAAGGGTAATTTATTAGAGTACTCGATTAATCGAAAAAAATATTCGATAGAGTACTCGATTACAAAAATATTCGATAGCTGCAGCCCTAATATAATCAACATTGTTTAACTGAACAATCACACGATAATAAATCACAGTGCATTAAGTGCCCACCATAGTCTTAAGACCTGTGTTTAACGTGCCCAAACCCATACTTTTGAGAGCACCATGTGAGCGCCTGTGTGTGTACACGCGCTTGTTTATTTAAGGTTTCTCTATAGGAGCATCTAACAGAGAGTGTGAGGGACCACAGATCCGCCCCCCAAAGATGCGCAGGAGACGGGGGGAGCTCCAAGTCTCAGAGATCCAGGCGCTGCCCCAGAACACAGGAACCCCAAGGAGACTGCAACCAGAAAGGCCCCCGCCCCACTCGAGAGGCACAGAAGATCGCCCCGGGGGGCCACAACCAGCAGCCGGCAGAGTCCCGGGAGATATCAGCGGCAAGCCCTCAGGCCCGCCCGCAGCCTCCCACCCCCTAGCCGGCCGAGCCCGGGACCCAGTGACCCGGGACCCAGGGGCGACCACCCCGCCGGGGACCCAGCAGAGCCCAGGGATCCAGACCCCACCAGGAAGCCACCGGGATCTATCAGGCAGATGCCAAAGATCTTAAACCCCCTGACCCGGTTGCCACGAACACTCAGGCAGACCAAGGCACAACCCCTCACACCAGGTGTGGCAGGGGGAGGGGGGACGAAGATCTATATCATCAAAGGAGGTCCCAGGAGAGGGGAGGAGTCAAAGGCCCCACCTGACATATACAGTCATACACAAACACAGTCACACACTCCCTCCCTCATGCTCACATGTTTTTACTCCTTTAATGACAACTATTTCATATTATACATCAAAATCTTCCGCTTGTTGTCTCACTAAAAATGTCAAAATATGACAGATTCGAGGTCAAGTTTTTTACATATTTTTGTTTGTTTGGCAAAACTGGTCTAACTTAAATTGAAGTTGCCATATTTGTCCAGATAATGTTTAAAGTTTAAGTCTGAATGATAGGAGGAGGGTAGGAGAATATACTGGTACCAGTTTATATCAGTAACAGAAATTAGCTTAGATTAAGTTGGTTTATTGGACATCAGTAGAAAAAACATTTCTGCTTACAATATTGTTTGAATATTGCAAGATTTGACTAAACCTCAATAAACGAACTCACAAAAATGCTGTAAATCCAGTCTCTGACTTGTCCTAGAAACGTTTTCATGCAGTTGAAGCCCAGTTTTGTTGATCTGAAATATGTCTAATGTTTAAGATGTCTTTTAGATCATACACCCGTGTTACTGTTGGCATTTTACCATTCTAAAATAGCAGGATGCTGAGGGCTGGACAGAGCAAAGTGAAAACCCTGGGATGTGTTCTCTTGTGCCCAGAACTACTGAATGTTTCTTTTTAATTCAAAAGTTATATGAAAAGGCAAAAGCTAAAAAAAAAAAAATTCAGATGAGACTTGATTCTGTTTTTTAATTTTTTTTTAAGTTATGTGTCTGTTCTGGCAAAAGCAAACTCTACAAATTTATGATTTGACTTCAATGAGTTTTGTGGTAAAAGTAAAAAAGTCAAAGAAAATTGAGCTTCTCACACGTTTAGAACAAAACAGGGAGAAAACATAGAATGACTATGAAAAGGGCATTAGATTGGAAAAGCAGATTCTCCCTCCACCTAAACGAGAAAATAAGATGCTTTGTGAATCTCGGTATGTGGACACCTCACTTCATTATAATGGATTAAGAAATGAATAAAAAGCAGGGAGAAAATCTGACACCTAAATTAAGTAGCAAGTATCCAGATGACAAAATTAAAAGGACGAGAATGAAGTTGAAGGGAAAAAAAATTATTGGCTGGGGAAAGTTTAACAGAAAAAAGAAGTTAAAAACATGGCAGCTGAGAAGAAGAGAGAGGAAAAAGAGAAGGCAGTGGATGCTCCAGGCGATGCCATCTGTGGGTGGATCTGCAAAGGCTGCGTGCCACACACCTGTGTGGGACTGCCTGGGAGATAAGGCCCACAGCAGAGTGGCCCAACGGCCACCTGTGCTGCCAAACAGGTGCACAGCCCAGCCAATTAAACTATTAGGAAAACACAGGCCTCCGGGAGCAAATTAGCAGGCAAGTACAAACATCAGAGGAAAAACAAAAAGCAATGGTAAGCATTCACAGTAAACACAAACACTTTGTTAGACTTTGGGTCTAAAAAAGAAAACCAAACGGTTTTGAAGAAAAAACATTAGTATAGTTTCAAATTAAGTCCAATACTCCCGTCATCCTTGATTGTATGATTGCTACTCATTATGGCTGCTCGTTTATGGCAAAAATGATAATCATGATTATTTTGACTGAAACTGAGATCTTGATAATTTAAGACGATTTTTTATTTAATGATGATTTTTTTTTTTATTTGGTCATAAAATTGCACTGGGCACAATCTGAGAAAAAATAATCAAACGAGAAAAAGAAATAAACAAGATAATCACAAAAACAACTCCTTAGTCAAAACACTCGCTCATAGTTTACTACCCAGCTGAGGTTTAATTTATTTAAGCCTACCCAAAACATACTCAGTTTCATAAAATATCTTGCAAATATCAACAGCAAGAGTTAGAGTGGATTTATTATAATATTCATAAATAAAAACAACATGCCTCCATCTAAAAGGCTAGGCTATCCCGAGTTATATCTGTAGTTATGCTGCTGTAGGCTTAGACTGGTGTAGGACATACTGACCACTTTCCACACTCTACTACTTGCTTCTAAAAGTTGCTCTTTAACTGTATTATTTCCTGCTATTTAAGCTGTTAACTTTATTTTTCTGCAAGTGTTTTTTTCCCCAGAAGACGCTACACTGGTGTTCTGCTGAGCTGTGGTGGCCTCATGGAGGGGGCAATCGTCTTGAACACTGCTGCTAACCACTTAAACACTCTCCCACTCCTGATAATAACATTGTTCTTTCTTTGACATTGAATGTGCTACTACTAGTTTACCTGTTTAATTATAGATTCACTAGGATAAATACAATAAAGTTGATCTCTCGCCAAATAGAATATTTACTAAGAAATCACAATGTAACCATAGAAACATGACTTGGTATATTTGGTGTGTGTGTGTGTGTGTGTGTGTGTGTGTGTGTGTGTGTGTGTGTGTGTGTGTGTGTGTGTGTGTGTGTGTGTGTGTGTGTGTGTGTGTGTGTGTTTCTGCTCCGTCTTCTCGATCCCCAGTGAGTCGTGGAGGATGGCTGCTTATACTGAGCCAGGATCCTCTGGAGGTTTTTTCCTGTTAAAAGGGAGTTTTCCTCTCCACTGTCGCTGCATGCTTGCTTAGTATGAGGATTGCGTAAGGTCACTGACACTAGTCAGTGACTCGATGCAACCTGCTGGGTTCCTTATATAGGAAACTTTTTACTGATTGGCTTAATGAACTGATCTGTATTGGAATGTCTACTGTGTGAAGTGCCTTGAGGTGACTGTTGTCGTGATTTGGCGCTATATAAATACACTTGAATTCATTTGAATTGAGTTAAACATCTATGTTGCAGTGAACTTCCACAAAATGTTGCATAATAATTACTAATTCTCCAGCGGTGCTGTGGGGAGTGTACAGTAGCGATGTGTCGCTCAGAGAGATGAATCATTATATATCAGCATGAGGAACTTATTTCTTCCTATCTCTAACGTATTCCTAAACTATTTATTTACAGGTGCATCATTCCCTTTCCTAATGTCTGGAAGGACGGTCCAAATCACAGGCTGTGTTTTGCTAACCTGCAGGACATATCGATGACAGTTATCCAGAACGTTGCTAAGGGTTATAAGAAGTGTTTCTAGGTTGTGTTCTAGGTACTTTTAGAAAAAAGCCAAAGAAGAGGGATCTGAAAAGTTATTAGAAATAGCGACAAAGTTGCTAAAAGTTGGCAATGCTGTTGGGAGGTGCACTTGATTTGCAACTCAGAGTAAACCTCGAGAGAAGAGCAAAAAAAATCAGTGTGTTTTGTTTTTATAATCATTCAAAACTCTTATCAGATTTGTGATTAAAGTTTGAATAATTGAGCAGCCCTACTACTCGTAAACTAAAAATAAGACATATTTTCTGTGTTTCCCTTGGCGGTTCATGATTCTGGTGGGCTGCCTGGCTTTGTTTGGCCCCCTGCCAGTCCAAGAACCATGATTTCTGAAGCAATGGAGGTTTGTCTGCTTTGCGATATATTGTATTACTACAACCTTGTTTGAGTCACTGTGTGAGTTATCTAATTGTTCATGTTATTCAATTTGATATGTTGACACCTCTTTGGGAAAAGGTGGTTGATAAACTCCCAGTTTTTCACCAAATGTGCAAAAAATTATTACTGTATGAAAATGTGAAACAAGAAAATCTGCTAATCGTTCCATCAAACCCCTCCATCATTATGGGACAATATGAAAATATACTACTTTCTTCCACAGTGGTTCAAAGTTTCATGTGCAAAGGGCAGTCGGTGGTTAGTATAACAAAAAAAAACTGGTTACTGACCTAACAGGGTTACTAGTGAGAGACACCCTGAGGGATTCCAGGCAGTTGAGCAGCTTTTCCTCTGTGATTCCAGACCGAAGTTCGTGGACATATTCCTGGGAAGACAGTGTACTCTCATGTTTGCTGTTCCTGAGTCCACCCTGGAAAACAAGAATCAGTAGGATGGATATTAGACTGTTAGACTCAGCTAAAATATCTTAAACAACAATATCATTTGAATATTATTTACATTATTAACAGCATCAAATACACCAAAATTTATGAATTATCACAAGACTAATTAACTCAAATAAAGCTACGTTTTATATTAAATCAAACTGTTCCAGCCTACAAATAATAAAGATATCCATTGTTATTTGACTCCATTTCTTAAGATAAATAATGAAACATGTTGGGGAATTCAGTCTTTTCCTAATCAGGCATTGCTCCTATAATGGACTCCACTAGCAGAGCCACACTCGGGCTCTACCGTACATACAATCTGCAGCAGCTTCTGCTTGAAGTAAATGGATTCTTGTGTTTAATCTCCACTGGGATATGTTGCTACACTGATGCTTACACAATGAAACTATCAACTGGCAGCACTACACACGCTTTCAGCTCAAAAACACATTAACACTCACTCTCCATTTACACACAGAAACCAACAGCACTATACAATGATGAGTCTGATTCCTTCATGGAATGCATTGTTTGACCAACATCACTGCAACTCAGTCCAACAATGGAGCAATGTCACACTTTATGACAAATTGATAATTGCAAGATAGTATTGTTTAAAAGACCAAAATGTTGGTGTGAATACGCAATCTACCACAGGAAATACATCAAGAAACATAATGCAGAGACACCATCCCATATGCCTAAAACAAGCTGCTTGGCAAAAGCTTTGCTGCTGTATTCATCCCGAGATTGCTGGTTCCCCACAAAGTGAGCTGTGCTAATAGGCAGTTTGGGAAGTAATAAGCTAGCTCATTTATCTGGAGAAAAGAGATGCCTGCTGCTCTGCTGCAATGCGCAGTCAACATGAATGAACCTTTTGTGTGTGTGTGTGTGTGTGTGTGTGTGTGTGTGTGTGTGTGTGTGTGTGTGTGTGTGTGTGTGTGCGTGCGTGCGTGTGTGCAAGAAAAACCAGAGGGTTTCAAACGGCAAGCTACCAATAATCTAGTTCTTTTCATGTGGGCTAAGCTCAAAGTTAGATTGACTAAACAACATAAAAATATGTGTCTTTGAGGAATTGGTTATGTAAAATCCTATTCTTCCAACATCTAAAATGATCAGTGCCAAGGCTAAAGTTATTCACTCAGCAGAAATCTAGTCACATGCAGCTTTGCACCTTATGGTCTTGGCAATAGGAGTTCATCCTATTATCAAGCAGAAATATCGGTAATACGAAAAAGAGAATGCAAAATACTTGTCAGTACTACATTAGGTTTTGCAGATATCGTCAATGATGACTTGCTCATTTCTGTCCACGAAGCTTTTTATGTCACAGCTGGACAATAAAAGCAAGATGCAAGAAATAAAATAGAAAATTGGATTATAAACAGGATGTGATTGGATGTGAATGAATTTCAGCCAAAGTCATTAGCTCTGAAATGTATAAATTTTAGGTATTTACAATGTCCACTCCTTGTCTCATTGAAAAGCTTCTCAAGGGTGCCTCATAATTATTTCAGATTAAGGTGTTAAACCCTTCACCTACTGGTTAGAAAAGATGTCATGATAAAGTTTCAAGCAAACATTTGGATGCTAACGGGGATTGGGAGAAATACACCTGAGGGAAGATTTTAGCCCCGGTTTCACAATGAAAGCATCGGCGGCACGGAACAGCAGTGGAACATCGCTGCTTCAAACAGAATCCATTATATTCTATGGAGTGTTTCAAACCAGCAGCGTTGCAGCAATTTCCAGACGCGTCCCAGAAGCGGCACGCCAAGCCGCTAAGGATAGGATCGGGTTCTATTTTTGCCACAGTACCACTTCTGGGATGTGTCAATTTCTGCAGTTAACATAGGGCTAGACAGGCTACTAACATTGAGTTAGTTTGACAAAAGCATTTACTGTGTCTGTAGTTATGGTTGATTAACCATAACTGCATTTAAGTCCAGTTAGTTGGTTTTAAATAAAAGAGTTCCATTATAAAGTAACTAAGAAAAAACTTTGGTCAAATGGGTTTGTTCTTTACAATGATCCAACATTATCTAAGCATTATTTCACTATTATAAACATTAAAGTATTATTTGTGAAACCATTTGGCCAAACAGCAATAAATGAGTTTTTATTTTATCTGTTAGTCTGAACTACACTTAGACTACAGGTCTGGAGAAAATACACCTTTTGTTGATAAATTGCATGAAAGCGCTTGTTAATCCAAAACACTTTTTATGGTTAAACTGAAGATCTTCCAAGCAGGAAAACACCCTACTGAGAGTGAAGCTGAAACCCTAGTATGCATTATCCAATAGAGCCAATACTCCCTGAACAGGAACCTACTAAAGACAAGTGAGCTGAGCCATTTAAACAGCTGATTAGGACAGTACATCACGCATGTCACATCCAATAAAACAAAGAATGCAGGACCTGTATTCAGTTGCACGGAGAAAGTAAAGGAGCAAAAGCTTAATGAGACTTTTATGCTGCGCATGATAAAGTGTTAATGCAACATACTGCATGTCCCCAAAAAATATGATAGTTAGGTTTTGCTCCATCACAGCAGTGAAATCACTAAATCATTCCTTGTTTTTCTTCAAGAAGACTTCGGCTTCAAAGACACGCGGCTGTCTGCAGTGAATCAGATAATAACAAAAGCAAGACAACAGCGGAGCAGTAATATGGCAGAGCTTCACTTTTGAAGGCTTGAAAGATAAAGGAAAGGAAGATAGTGAGTTATACAGTAGCAGTGGATTTTGTGAGGACAAACTCTGCTGTCTCACTGAGGTTTGACTTTGATGTTAGCAGAACTTGATAAAATGCAATATACAGCTTCAGAAAAAAGTTTCCTACCTTGTGTGTGAAGTCAGAAATGTCAAAAGTGTAAAAAATATCATGACAATAAGTTTTTGTCCCAAATGCCCTTATTTTGGTGTAGCTGTATTATGTAAAACGCAGAATGTTCTTGCAGGTTTGACTTGTTAGTTTGATCCTTACTGATGATAAGACTAGTTAAATTAGCTCAGTTCATCTTTCTAGAGTTTCTAAATGTGTTTCCACACATTGGTTTTAGTCAGTATGCTGCCTTTTTCATATAATTTGGATCATCCACACAGTCAGCTGCATACCTACAATGCAACATGTCGGAGGCTCAACTTTAGAGTCGAGGGAACACAATCAATCAATCAATCAAAGCTTTATTTATATAGCGCCTTCCGCAACCCTGTCAGGATGCCCAAAGCGCTGAACATGGTTTAGTTGAAGGTAAATATATTGAATAAATCAAAAATAAAAGCAATTCAAATTACAAAATACAAATTACAAAATAGGTTAAACATTCTGGTACAGGACAAATGTGCAAAACAATGGATTGAGTGAGCCTGTCACGATCTGCCCCTGCCTTCCTGACTGTGTTCCTCTCCTGCCCTGATTAGCCCTTATTGTTCTCACCTGCGCCTTGTTAACCTGCCCATGTGTTCCTGATTTCCCTGTGTATTTATACCTCCCTCCTTGTGCCAGTCTTTGTCAGATCATTGTTGTTTGTCGTGTTGTTCTCGTTGTTCCTGCCGTATCTTGTCATTAAACCCATTTTACTTTATCCGTGCCTACATTCCTGCCTCCTGGAACTCTCCACCATACATGGTCCATCATCTGCACCACCCTCAACATGACAGAACCAATGAAAACTGTGAAATAAATTCAACATAAAAGAGGGCCAAAAGTCAGAATATTCCAATGTTGGGTTTATGACAACGAAATCTAGGCCTTAACTGCATAAATGCTTATGTTTGCAAAATGAACGTATCTAATCGGAAGGTTGCAGGTTCTTTCATTGTGTCCTTGGGCAACGCACAATCAATTTTACCTGCTGGCGATGTTCAGAGGGGCCGGTGGCGCCTGAGTCCTCGCCTCTGTCAGTGTGCCCCAGAGCAGCTGTGGCTACAATGTAGCTCATCACCACCAGTGTGTGAATGTGTGTGTGAATGGGTGAATGATTGCATTGTAAAGTGCCTTGGGGGATTCCAGGACTCTAGAAGCTGCTGTATCAAATACAGGCCATTTACCATTTTTTTCTTTGACTTTTGTGGTCATTTTCTCACTCCATCGTGCAAAAATTTTGAATTTGCCTCTCTGTCACTGCAACCCTTGAATAAAAATTGCACGTCCAAGATTGCCTAAAATGTTTATAGAAAAGTTGGCAAAAAAAACAACATATTAGTACTTTCCCCTTGTGAAATGGCTCTTTAATTGCTGAAGTTCTATTTTTGCATATGGCTGATGAGACAACTATAGTTACCAAACAGTGCTTCCTCAGTGATGGACAGTTAGAGGCAAACACGTCACCTCCGTTTTATTAATCTCCTGGCTTTTCAGTAGTTCCCAGCAAGCGTGTCCCCATGTCCAGAAAAGCCAGAGCTCTGGTTTCACCACATGCCCTGACCTCTGGAAACCAAAGACAATGACCATAAACTGCTTTTTCATGACCATAGCCTAAATCAATATCATCCATTGGGATAATATCAACATTACACCACAATACTGGCAGCAGAGAAACAATCTGAGGGGAAGTGGTGCAGCTACCTGCTGGCCACTAAATAAGTTCTCTTTGTCACAATAACGCAAATGTTAGGGAAAATAAACAGACTAAGGAGAAAATGAAGTTATTCTGTTGTAAGATGTAAAAATGTCAGGAAGTAAAGGGCATACAAGGGTGAAAAGAAGTATGAAAAAGGTACAAAAAGACAGAGTATGGTTTGAGAAAGGCAGGGCAAAGAGTTCGACTGTCAGGAGACACTGCAACCTGAACAGCAGAGGACAGATGCAGCCTTTTGACCACAGCCTTGAGCCTCATCTCCTGCCGCTTATTGAATCCCCTATTTGTCGATAAGAGTATTTCCTGCCAAAGAAAATAGTGTTGGGAGCAATTACTTCAGTGAGCCTGTCAATTTCATTTTGGGGGGTTAGGGGTGCTTTGAGGATCATTCCC